TTTTTTTTTTTTTTCCCCCAGCCAGGCCTCAAAATGACATCATGTGAGGTGCTTCCAAGATGCTGCCAGCACATGAAACCCAAGACAACAAGCAGCACAATAACCATCATCAACAGGCAAACTCCAAAAAGTTTGGGTCTGGATTTGTTTTATGTTGAGGGAAGCAGATTTCCTCTGGTGTTTAATAAATCATAAGAAACAGAAATCACAATGTATTAACTCAGAATTGACCTACAAAGAGTCAAAAGAAGCCAAAATTCCCTCCCCCATTTGCCCTCTTTTTCCACCGACATTTTAAAAATAAAGGGGGGAAAAATTAAAATGAAAAAGAAACAACACAGATATAATTTAAATGATTTCAAATCCTTATTGAACATCACTGAGATTGAATTTTTATCCATCAGGCTGACTGGCTTTAACTAGCTCTTACCACTAAGACCCTGCAAAGAAACTGCACATACATGCTCTTGCTTTTTAGGGTTGATCTAGAACTGTGAGGGTGAGGTGTGTGAATGTTTGTGTGCATGTGTGTATGCTTTGAACCAATTTTATAAATACTGACACATGACAATTCTTGTCATTGGTAGGAGTCTTTGGAATCCAATCATGCAGAATTACAGGCAGGGGCAAGTTATGTTTCATTACAAGATGAACATGGCAAGGTGAACAGTTTAAATGCTAGTAAAGGTTTGGGAGATTTTGTTACCATTAGAATATACTGGCCATTGGTCCCACATAATCAAAAGTTAGATATACAGGGGTCAATATATAAACCGAGACCTTCCACTTCAGCTTGACTGACCAAGTTAAAGGGTCAAAGTGAATCATTTTTCAGACAGCCAAAGGACTGTCTAAGCTCCAGAATAATGAAATCTTTCATTTTGATCACCAGAAAAATAATAAATGTAACTATTTACATTGTAACTTTCATTTTTACAGAAAGGAATTTCCCTGCTTGGTTTAATGATATCCTTGGAAAATGTTGGATTCTTACAACTAAAATGTAGATGGAGGATTGTGAGTGGGAAGTAGGTTATTTTTCAGACCCAG